CCCCAGCCACGTCCATCTTCGCTCTCAAGGAGATTCAGCTGCAGAAGGAGCCGGGGCTGCGCTCGGCCCCCCTGCCCCCCACAGGTCAGACCCCAAAAAACAAAAATCCCAAAATCCCCAAATCCCCAAAAATCACCACAGGTCAGACCCCAAAAAACAAAAATCCCAAAATCCTGAAATCCCCAAAAATCACCACAGGTCAGACCCCAAAAAACAAAAATCCCAAAATCCCAAAATCCCCAAATCCCCAAAAATCACCACAGGTCAGACCCCAAAAAACAGAAATCCCAAAATCCCCAAATCCTGAAATCCCCCAAAATCCCCACAGGTCAGACCCCAGAAAACAAAAATCCCAAAATCCCCAAAAATCACCACAGGTCAGACCCCAAAAAACAAAAATCCCAAAATCTAGAAATCCAAAAACCCCAAAATCCCAAAACCTCAAAATCCCAAAATCAAAAAAATCCCCACAGGTCAGACCCCAAAACCCAAAATCCAAAATTCCAAAATCCCCAAAATCCCCAAATCCCCAAAACCCCCAAATCCCCCAAATCCCAAAATCCCAAAAAATCCCAAAATCCAAAAAATCCCAAAATCCCCACAGGTCAGACCCCAAAAAACAAAAATCCCAAAATCCCCAAAAACCCCAAAATCCCCCCCAGGTTTGGAGGGGTTTGGGGAATTTTTGAAATTATTTTGGGGGATTTTTGGGGTTTTTTTGAGGTGATTTTGGGGTTTTTTGGGGGTGATTTTGGGGTGATTTTAAGGTGATTTTTGGGGTTTTTTCTGAGATATTTTTGGGGTTTTTTTGAGATGATTTTGGGGTTTTTTGAGGTGATTTTAAGGTGATTTTTGGGGTTTTTTTAGGTAATTTTGGGGGTATTTTTGGGATATTTTTGGGGTATTTTTCAGGTGATTTTGGGGTTCTTTTGGGGTTCTTTTGGGGTGTATTTTGGGGTATTTTTGAGATTTTTTTGAGGTGATTTTAAGGTGATTTTTGGGGGTATTTTTGAGATATTTTTGGGTTTTTTTGAGTTGATTTTGGGGGATCTTTTGGGGTGATTTTGAGGTGATTTCGGGGATATTTTCAGGGTTTTTTTGAGATACTTTTGGGGTTTTTTTGAGGTGATTTGGGGTTATTTTAAGGTGATTTTTGGGGTTTTTTTAGGTGATTTTTGGGGTATTTTTGAGATTTTTTTGAGGTGATTTTGGGGTGATTTTAAGGTGATTTTTGGGGGTATTTTTGAGATATTTTTGGGGTTTTTTTGAGGTGATTTTGAGGTGATTTCGGGGATATTTTCAGGGTTTTTTGAGATACTTTTGGGGTTTTTTTGAGGTGATTTTGGGGTGATTTTGAGGCGATTTTTGTTTTTTTTGGGGGGTATTTTTGGGTTATTTTTGAGATGTTTTTGGGGTGATTTTAAGGTGATTTTTGGGGGTATTTTTAGGTGATTTTGAGGGTATTTTTGGGGTATTTTTGAGGCGATTTTTGGGTTTTTTTGGGGGTATTTTTGGGTTATTTTTGAGATGTTTTTGGGGTGATTTTGGGGTGATTTTAAGGTGATTTTTGGGGGGTATTTTTAGGTGATTTTGAGGGTATTTTTGGGGTATTTTTGAGGCGATTTTTGGGTTTTTTGGGGAGTATTTTTGGATTATTTTTGAGATATTTTTGGGTTTTTTTGAGGTGATTTTGGGGTGATTTTGAGGCGATTTTTGGGTTTTTTGGGGAGTATTTTTGGGTTATTTTTGAGATGTTTTGGGGGGTTTTTTTGAGGTGATTTTGGGGTGATTTTTGAGTTATTTTTTGGGGTTTTTTTGTTTTGTTTTTTTATTTTCTGACCTTTTTTTTCCCCCCTCAGGTTCTTCCGCCTTCCGGGTGCTCGACACCGAATTCTGACGTCGAGCAGGTGAGA